ACACATTTAAATGCACTTGTCAAACTACAAAACATGGTTTCTGGGAAATTTTCTATATAAAAACACCCCAGACAACCAAATTGAAAATTCAAACTTTCTATTGCATTTTGAAATATTCATTTTTTTCATCTCCAAGCATGACTTTAAAATTAACTAAAATTCTATGTCATCAAGAATTTTGTACAAAATTATACTAGTATATTATAAACATTTTTATTTGAATTACAACAGTAGCATTTTTGTATATTTTCAGAAATGCATACTTTTATTTGGGGCCTACAATAAGTCAAAAATGGTATCTTAGAAACATCTAAAGCTTCAATAATAATGCATGTTTGTTTTTTAAATTCAATAGAATTCATATAAATCAACCAGACATTTCCAAAGTGACACTCATTAATTGTGTGGTATTTCTGCTATTTCGTTAGCTTTCTTCTATGAGCTTTTTAAATTAAGTTCTCTGGGAAATTGTGTCCTCTTGTGGTCACTGGCAAAAACAACATGTTTTCTGCGGGAAGAACCAAACCAAACAATGGAATTGGGACTCTGAGCTTCAGGAAAACCCACCTGTGAGAAAAGAAGATCCCCTGAAGCAGCAAAGAAAGATAAAGGGTATGAGTCTCTGAAAGATAAAGGGTATGATAAAGGGTATGAACTTTAATTAGGAAAACATCAAAATTGTTCAATTTGTATTTAAATTACCAATCATCAGATGGTTAAAAGACACACAAATGCTTTCTAGGCAGCACAACTAACATTGATAAGTCTTATGAGTGACTATATATTTCTTACATTTTTTTTTAGTTGTTCCAGCAGCTCATTGTAGTAAGTTATGGGCATGTATATCAACAAAGTTAATTGGCAGCTGAGATGGGATACCAATAGACAGGCTGCACTTTCCTATAAGGTTAGGAAAAAAAAAAAGGCAAAATGTTATTCAAGACCCCATACATTTCCGCACCAAACTTTAGTCCTGTTCCCCCTATGTCTCTTTATTCAATCTTCAATTTGAGAACAAACTGTCAGACATTTTAATGATTAATATCCATTTGAAATTTCCATTTGCTCATTTGAGATGCTCCTCAATTTCTTTTTTAAATAATTTTATTTGTTCCTTATTCTTAAAGAAATTCAGGAAAGGAAAGGTAAGATCAAAGAAATTCAGAAAAAGAAAGGTAGGATTAGTTATGTTCACAAATTAAACCACCTCATTAAAAGAGAAAGAATGAGTTCTTATTTAGGGCAAGATGTTCAAACATCAGTAAGACTACCTGGGTAATCAAAGAAGAATCTCCTTTAACACAGAGTTGTCAAATTCCTTCACTCCTGCAGACACACACTTTATATTCCACTTTAATCAAATTCTGTCATTTAAATAACACATTGGGCAATCTCTGTAAAGTGTTCAAATACCATGCAACCTATGATGTACAACCTCATCTGAGATCTACTCAACTGCCGCCCTTCCAATTTGTGTCCCCTTCTTTAGGAATGCTCCTGGGTTTTGCTTAGGCAATTCAGAGAAATTAGTTCACAGAACTCAAAGCCAAAAAACAGGTGACAGGTCATCTAAAGAGAACGAAGCAGAGGAACAGACTGGAGAACCTACATTTTGCACAAGCCCAAACTCCCAGACTTACCAGCTTACTAAAAATTCTATAGTCCGTTTCTTTACCCTATTTGAGAGTATTTATAATTCATTGCTGCTAAGAGAATGTCAGTGCATATTCAAACTGTAAGGATACAGAGACTTATTACATTTGCTCAGTATGAGATTTCTAGCTCTGTAACTTCGAACAGTATTTTTTTTTCAATTTTTTAACACAGCACACATTCCTCAGGAAGGACTGCAAACATGCCAAGTTTGCAGTTTGAAAACAAAGCTCGTTTTAAATTATCCAAGTGCAAAAGAAAAATTTTTTTGCTTTCAGTTAAATTTTTTTTCAGGGACCTTATTTTAGAAGTAGACAAAATGATCGAATCCCAATTAATCTAGCATTGCCAAAGAAGGTAGTCCTCCAATGACATCCTTCCAGACCAAGTTCAGTCCTCTTAGAAAAACTCCTAACAGTATTTTCAAAAGCCTGAAATTTGGATTTCAGAATGAAGTAAGCTGTCATATCTTAAACAAAACATTGTGGAAATTAAAATTATTGTTGCATATATGAGATATCCAGAATTATATCTGGCTTGTCAGCACATTTAGAAAAAAAAGCCATTCTTGCTCCAGCAAGTGTGGAAAAGAAAATTGTTAGATAAAATGTTAGAGCCCACTATACAGGAACAAAGTGGACAGCCTGCCACTGGCATATTGCAGTTTGCAAAAGCAAAGATTATCAAGCGCCAGGCATTTTTTGAAAGGTAATTCACCTAGCAAATTACTACTTTTGCTCAAAATGTAATTTTCCAGCCTCACTTAAGAACTCAGAAAACTGGTCTCATCCTCTACTCCTTGCAAGAGTTCAAGAGAAATTTTATCTTAGAACTGAAGTCATCAATTGTGACCTTTTGGGAAGCTTCCATGGACAGGATACTTCTGGTTAGGTCATTCATTTTAAACTCTCTTTAAGCATACTGGCATCCAGAGCTTGGCCTTGGCTCTGAGGTCCATCTACAGAAGGCCAGGAGCCATTCACCCGCTGGAAGTTAGTGCCAGAGAAGTACTAGGCTCCCTTGTTTAAGAATTAGTCTTAGAGATTGATGACTTTGCAAGTCACACTGGCTAATGACCCCTGGCTGCTGCACCATCATAGACTCTGCTTCTCCTCCACCTTGTACGACCCTTCCTCCTCCCCAATTCCCTTTGGTCAGGTAAGGTTTCCTTTACACTTTGCCCACACTTTCCTGTCTTGCTTACCCCAGGTCACAAAGGAAAGAGTCCAATCATTCGATCTCTTTCTTTTTGAGACTCAACTACAGGGGGGAAAAAAAGTAAGATTTGAGACTGATATTAGCATGAAAAAAAAAAAAGACAGCTAACGTGGAAAATTTTCAAGATTTCTGCAGCCACGTTCAAAATAAGAATTTTTGAATAATCTGCAATTCAGACTTTTAAAAAAGAGAACACTTGGTAGAGAATGGAGCAGAATTTCTGCCTTGTCTCTGTTTCCAAGAGATAAAATCCTATAGGCAGAAGATACAAATACAAGGGTGCGCGGGATGACTTTGCTTTGACAAGAAACGCCTTCGTGCTATTGAAATCAAGTGGAGGTCAAGTAGAATCTGATTTTCTGACAGGCTGTCATTTTAAAATATGGCAGCGGCTCGAGAAGCAGGCCAATCGGCATGCTGCGGTAATTGTTTCTGAATATTTCTGTGAAAATGGTGAAGGAAAACCCCAGCAGGGTTCCCATCCCTTGGAAACACAGTACTGTTTACCCCTTGCGGGAAAGATAACTCTTGCCCTCACGTCCCAACAAAGGCTTAGCCTTTCAGCCGGCCCAAAGAGCTCCAAACCCCAGGGTTTCCCGGACCGAAGCTGCGAGCCTCAGCGGGGCACAGCCACGTGGCCTGCCCGCGGGTCGCCAGGGCTCCCGCCTCCTTCTTGGAACATCCGTGGCCAAGACCCTCGGTCCAGCCCAGAAGAGGGTGCTTGCTGAGTTAGCAGTTCCCACCCGCGAGTTCGGACTAGGAAGCCAGTGGGCGGACCTCTGCCTGTACAGGGCGAAGCACACAACCCGGTGCCCCCCAAATCTGCCCTAAACTATTGCCTTTGGTCTTTAGTTTGCTTTAAAATGTAAAAGATGAACATGAAACTGTTATTTTACCCCAACTCCTTCCAAAAGGGAGCAAGGATAGCTTTGCCAAGATGGGCTTTTCTTCCACAGCGGCTCCTCTTCCCGCTCAACTTTTGTTACTTCCAGTTTACCAGAATCTGCATAAACACCCGCTTTGGGGATCTTTGATTTAATTCTCTAGATAGAAATGCTTAAAGTGAAAACGTGTTCAAATAATTGGAATGCACTTGGGGCGTTGAGAGCATAACTGCCCACTGGACCTCTTTGGAAGGGGAGCTGGAACATGGGTACTCTCAAGAGCAGGCAGCTCCAAAAGTATAGGCGCTATCGAATCCCCGCATCACTGTTTGATGAACTGATCTTCCAAGGTCACATGCGGAGACTGACTAAAGGGTTCTCCACCTTGGGCTGCTGCGCCGAGTAACCGGGCCGCGGTGAAGGCGTGTGCTGCCCTCCTCCAGCTTTGCTCCTTCCCCAAAGACAAGGCTTCCCTCGTCGTGTGGGTGGGGGTGGGGGAGAGAATGAACTTCTGCCACTAACACTTTCAGAGGCACAGTCCTTTGGGTGCAGAGAGGCTGTACATTGTGTCACTGCAGAGGGAAAAGGAGGGCCCAGATGCTTCTCCCGGAGGGGTAAGAGAGCAGGCCGGGGCATAGAGCCACAGCCCCTGCTACGCAGCCACGTCCTCAGAAACGCCCACGACCTTAAGCCCCGGCCGCGCGGTTAAGCCCTGGGGACCCCAGGAGTTCGTCTACCTGACCACTGGGTAGACTCCGCGGTTGACACTTTCTTGCCACTCTACTCCCTCTTCCCCGCGCCCAGGACTCCCAAACTGGCCCCAAAGACCTATAGGGATCCGAGTAGGGATGAGACATCACCCACTGCGTAGAAGCTGTTGCCACCGTTGCTGTCACAGCTACTCTGTTTGGGGCAGCTACAGAGGCCGGCACAGTCCCCTCTGGCCTTTTCCCGGCGCTGCGATAGGGTGCGGGGGCGCTCCCCAGCTCTACGGCACGGAAGGAAATCGCCCCACTCCTGGCGGAGAAGGAAGGGGGAGGGCAGCAAGGAGGCGGGCGGAGGGGCCGGCCGCCCGGGCCAGGTCGTTTTTGAATGGTTTGGGAGGACGAATTGTTAGACCCCGAGAAAGGGAGGGGGGAGTGGGACGGGGGAGGGGGTTGGAAAGCGGAAACTTTCCTATAAAACTTCGAAAAGTCCCTCCTCCCCACGTCAGGCCAATGACACTGCTGCCCCCAAACTTTCCGCCTGCACGGAGGTATAAGAGTCTCCAAGTCTGCAGTTTTCGCCCAACTCCCAGACACCTCGCGGGCTCGCCAGCACCGGCACCGTTTCCCGGAGGCCGAGCTGGGTGTGCGTGCGGCCGTTGGGCGCTTTCTTTTTGGACCTCGGGGCCATCCACACCGTCCCCTCCCCCTCCCGCCTCCGCCCGGGCCGGCGCCGCGCGCTGGGGAAGCTGGCGGGCTGAGGCGCCCCGCTCCCTTCCTTTTTCCCGGGCTGCCCTTCTGCCCCGGGCCCGCGAGGCCGCACGTCTCAGCTCAAGAGATGATGCAGGACGTGTCCAGTTCGCCAGTCTCGCCGGCCGACGACAGCCTAAGCAACAGCGAGGAGGAGCCGGACCGGCAGCAG